CGCCCCCCCCGCCCCCGCCCCCCTCCCCCAATGCTCTCTGCTCTTTCTTCCCTTCCATCTTCTCTCAACACCTTCTGTTTATCTGTTCACCTGTGTCCCTTTCCTTGGCTTTGTGCCCAGGCCCCAGGGGGAGGAAGGGTGTCTTGCCAGTCACAGCTGCCCCAAGGCTCCCTCTGTCCTATGTTCTGTGGTGGCCCCCTCAGGCTTCCTGGTGCCTCTCTGTCCAGGGCTTACCTTCCCAGGACACTTGGCTACCTCTGCTGCTGCCTGCTTACTGGCCCTGGGCCAGCTGCAGTCTCAGCTCATCCCTGGAACAGGGTGAATATTTGTTCCCCCACTCCTCATTCAGCCTGTCCTGGACCTACCTGAGCTTCCCTGGGCCCTGCCACCCTCTCTCTGAAGGACTCCAGGCTGTTCGGGAGGGCATGTGCACACATATATACATGACGAGGGACTGTGTTGCATGTAGGAGGGAGTGTCCTGGAGTTACTGACCCCATCTGACCTGCCCTCCCCCTCTCCCTGCCACCAGAGATTGTGCACGAGGACTTGAAGATGGGGTCTGATGGGGAAAGTGACCAGGCTTCAGCCACGTCCTCGGATGAGGTGCAGTCTCCAGTGAGGGTGCGCATGCGCAACCATCCCCCACGCAAGATCTCCACTGAGGTGCTTAAGCCCCGTCTGGGTGGTGAAGGAGCTGGAAAAGGGGATCAGACTTGGGAAGGTGGAACTCATGGTCCTATTTCTCCCCTATCTTACCTGCTAGGACATCAACAAGCGCCTGTCACTACCAGCGGACATCCGGCTCCCCGAGGGCTACCTTGAGAAGCTGACCCTCAATAGCCCCATCTTTGATAAGCCCCTCAGCCGCCGCCTCCGCCGTGTCAGTCTGGTGAGTATCTTCCTTTCCTGTCCCCTTCTCATCTTCCAGTCACTTCCCCTGAGCTTGCTTTAATTATCCTCCTTCCCTCCATAGTCTGAGATTGGCTTTGGGAAACTGGAGACCTACATCAAGCTGGACAAGCTGGGTGAGGTGAGAGACAGCCAGGAGGACCATGGTGAGGGAGTTGAAGGGAGGAGGCAGGGGTCAGTGGGAACTCCCTGAAGCCTCGTAGCCTCTCCTAACACACCTCCCCACATCCCAGGGCACCTATGCCACTGTCTACAAAGGCAAAAGCAAGCTCACAGATAATCTTGTGGCACTCAAGGAGATCAGACTGGAACACGAAGAGGGGGCCCCCTGCACCGCCATCCGGGAAGGTATAAACCCCCAGCCCATCTACTCCAGGCTTCCATGACTCCCCATGGTACACATATACTCCATGGTGAGAATGGAGGTTCTGGGACTTCTCCACCCCAGTATTCTGGCCTTCATGAGAATGCCCATCACCCACATATTACCACCTACTACATAGGTAGTAATCAGGGTAAGCAGGAATCTGTTTCTGTTTGGAGAAAAGGTGGATGAATTGCAACCAGGGTGCATGCTTTGGTTCTGAGCGCATCCCTAAAATGGCTAACCAGTTTACTTGCCACTTGAACAGAAACTGAATGTGTAAGCAAGTTTCCACAATACTACAGGCCAGTGTACTGAGGTTAGAGCAAGCCCCCTTCCCAGCAACCAAAAACAGTCAGTGAAAATCTAGTGTCACATGAGCCTCAGCCAGTCCCAAATTCTTGCTCAGTTGTCTTCTCTGAGCCTCATTTTCCACATCTGGAATGTACAGGTACTTCTGGCATGGGGTGGGTTAGCCAGTGCCGCTGGCTGTGCAGCATTACCCCAAGCTGCTCGGAGGAGGAAACCCTGGGCTCGTCCTTATCTGGTCCTCATCCTTGCCTTTGTCCTGCGGGTGGATTCCTGACTTTCTCCCATCCCACTCCCACACTTCTGCAGTGTCCCTGCTCAAGGACCTCAAACATGCCAACATCGTCACTCTACACGACATTATCCACACAGAGAAGTCCCTCACCCTTGTCTTTGAGTACCTGGTAAGGCTGGGTGGCAGTGGGACCTGGGCAGGGTGGGGAGATGGCCAGGAGCCACTGGATGTGACCTTTGTTCCTTCCTGTCCCACTTCTGTCCTCAGGACAAGGACCTGAAGCAGTACCTGGATGACTGTGGGAATGTCATCAACATGCACAACGTGAAAGTGGGTGTGGGGCAAGAAGCCGGGGCACAGGGGGCCCCCACTCACCCACTCCACCCCACAAATCTCCTAGAAACGGACTTTTTCCCATTTGGCTTTTTTGCTGGGAGCTCTTGGAGGGCATTGGCACCCTGTCCTCGTGTGTGTGACAAGGCTCTAGGCCCAGTGACTGTGCTTGGGAGGGGAACAGTGCCTGCTGGGGGTTGGGCTGGGGATACTCTCTGACCTCTGCCTCTCATTCCTGGGTCCCCAGCTGTTCCTGTTCCAGTTGCTACGTGGCCTGGCCTACTGTCACCGGCAGAAGGTGCTACACCGAGACCTCAAGCCCCAGAACCTGCTTATCAACGAGAGGGGAGAGCTCAAGCTGGCTGACTTCGGTACCTACCACCAGCCTCCTCCTACATTAGTCCTTTAGCCTTATTCTTCCATCTCCCCTATCCTAGAACCATGGAATCTCATTCTCCTTCAGCTTCTCCACACTTTGCCTAGGGAACCCTCTATCCCAACCGCACTCTTCCCCAGACTTTGCCCACAACCTCCTCATTCCAGCTGCCTCTTCTCTCTGCTTTCCAGGCTTGGCCCGGGCCAAGTCAATCCCAACAAAGACGTATTCCAACGAGGTGGTGACACTGTGGTACCGGCCCCCTGACATCCTACTGGGGTCCACGGATTACTCCACCCAGATTGATATGTGGTGAGGACAGGTGGAAGTGTGGCAGGGGCCAGTGGTGAAGGGGGTGGCTTGGTCTCAAGAGCCATCCAGGCAGCTGCCTCCCTGTTCACTGTGTCCTCCCTGCCCAGGGGTGTGGGCTGCATCTTCTATGAGATGGCCACAGGCCGGCCTCTCTTCCCGGGCTCCACAGTGGAGGAACAGCTGCACTTCATCTTCCGCATTTTGGGTAAGGAGGCATGAGCCCTAGGAACTGTGGAGACAGTAGGGAGACCCTGAGAGGCGTTTGGGGTAACTTCTCTTCTCTGTCAGGAACCCCAACTGAGGAGACATGGCCAGGAATCCTGTCCAATGAGGAGTTCAAGACATACAACTATCCCAAATACCGAGCCGAGGCCCTTTTGAGCCATGCACCCCGGTGAGGCTGGTGGCCAGGCGGGTGGGTGGTAGGGGCCAGAGTGCCCAAATTCAATTTAAAGCAGGTCTCCTTGTCCTTGCTGTAGACTTGATACTGACGGGGCCGACCTCCTTACCAAGCTGCTGCAGGTAAGACCTCCTTCCTGGACTGGCCTTGTAGGTAGGGGATTCTAGGTGTGAAGAAATGGGGATCCCCAGGCTCTGAGGTGGGCAGGAAGAGAGTTCTTACTCATCAAAGATAACAGTACCTACCCCCTAATTCAGTTTGAGGGTCGAAACCGGATCTCCGCAGAGGATGCCATGAAACATCCATTCTTCTTCAGTCTGGGGGAGCGGATCCACAAACTTCCTGACAGTGAGTGGAGCTGGGGAACAGGACTGCTGGGCTCAGCTGGGCGGGTTGTGTAGGATTCTGGCCATGCCACCTCAAAGGCATAGGAACATCCTTGTTCACCTGTGTGATGGATATAGTTCTTATAAAACAGTTTATTAGCTTGTAATAACTTTTACCTCTCATAAAAATTTTTGAACATACGTAAAAATAGATCCAGTATCACTTTACCTTTTTAAAAGGGCATTTCCTTGTAATATACGAGGGGACTTCAGAAGGTTGTGAAAAATGTAACTTACATACGAGTTTATTTTGAAACAAAAGAAAATTTTGAAATATATGCAATTTTTCATAATACACATTTTTCCACGAACTTTTTGGAAACCCTTTGCATATGCTAAAAACAAATCAAATGTGCACAAGAATGATTTTTTTTGGGGGGGGGGAGGTTTTTGCTATAAGGCGTGTGTGCTCGCCAGACAGACAGAGAGAGACATAGAGACAGAAAGCGAGAAATCACCCCCCAGGGGGGATGGTCACACCGCAATCCCTTCTCCATTCTCCTCTCAGGATCTTGGGCACGCACACACACGCGCCCGGCTTGAGTTTTAAGCCACCGGGTCCGGGACGCAAACCATGGTCGACTACGTGGGAGTCCAGTGACATAGCCATTATGCTAACTGCTGGTTCCCAAGAATGAATTTTCACTACACACACACACAGAATAATACAATGAGTCCCCAAGTACTCCAGCAAATCGTCCACTCATGAATAATCTGCTTTTGTCTATATTCCCCTTTTGATTATTTTGGATCAAATCCAGTCCTAGACATCTTATCCATAAATAATTTTAGCATATGTCTATAAAAGGTTTTAAAGGATTTTATCAACAGTGTCATTGTCACACCTAAAAAAAATTGGCCTACTTCACCGTCTCACCTGAACTAATATTTAAGTCAAATCCCCAAATACCGCCCATCATCTAGATTTAACAAGTGGTAATTGCAGGCCAGCAGGTAGCATGAAAGTTAAAGTACTGGATCCCATATAGCCAATCCTGTGGTTCGAGTCCCAGACCTGGCAGCTTGAAAATCACTCCAGGTGCATGTGCATGCATGCACAAAATCCTGAGAAGAGAATGAAAGGATTGCAGTGTGGACATCCCTCTTGGGAGGTGATGTCTCGCTTCCCCTCTCTTTGTCTGTCTCCCCTTCTCTCTCTGGTAAGCACACATGCCCTATAGCAAAAATTAAATAAAAATAAAGTGGGGCTGACAGGTGGTATAGTGGTTAAGGGTGCAGACCATGGTTCAAGTCCTGGACCTGGTGACTTGTTTTCTCACTCACTCCGTCCCTCTCTGGTCAAATTAAGGTAAACATAAGCTAATTTTTTTTTAATGTGGTAATTGCAATACCGTTATCACATTTGACAAAATTAATAATTTGTGTTATAATCTGTCTTCCATAGTTGTAACTGATTTATGTGAAATTTGACAGATGAAAGTCAAGCTCTCAAAGAAGGGGCAACTTTTTCTAATTGCCCTAATGAGGGGGGCATCCCCACTTCTGTGTCTCCTCCAGCTACTTCCATATTTGCACTAAAGGAGATCCAGCTACAAAAGGAGGCCAGCCTTCGGTCCTCGTCAATGCCTGACTCAGGTAAGTGTGGCCCCTTGCCTCCCCCCAGCCCCACCCACCTACCTGCTTACCCACCAACAGCCATCTGCTCTGCTTTCCCCCACAGGCAGGCCAGCTTTCCGTGTGGTGGACACCGAGTTCTAAGCTACAGACCGAGGCCCCAGCAGGCAGCGGCTGGAGGGATGCCACACCCCTCACAGGGCAGCCCCCCAACTGCATCCTCTCTGCTTGCTGCCTGTCTACCTGCCTGAGCCATGCTCTCCTGCCCACTTGTCCTCTGCTGCCTGCCCAGACACCCAACCATTGGCCTGTCAGCCCACCCACTGGCCTATCTGCTGGGTGCTAACAAAGCTCTCATCACTCCTTTGCCTGGTCTGTCTGTCTGTCTGTCTGTCTCTGTCTTGGTAGTTGCCGGTGGACAGCATGGCCGTTCCAGCCTCTTACACTGAGGCCAGGCCTACCCCTCTTCGTCATACCTTTCCCCAGGACCACTACCCCACGGCCAGCCAGAGGTCCGGAGCTAGCGCAGGCTGGGGATCTCAACTCAGACAAGATGGTGGTGATGCCTTGGGTCTGAGGCTTCCCCTGCCTGCTTTCCTGCCTGCCCCACCTGCCTCATGTTGTGTGGGCCTTTTTTGTTTGTTTCATTCATTGTTGTCTTTTTTAATTATTTTAAATGAGGTTTTCATTTTTTTTAAATGCAATATCTCTGTATACAGACTGGCTGGGCCCTACTCCCTGCGTGTGGCCCTCCCATAGTATTTTGTGCAATGAAGCCCTGCTCCCAGCCTTTTGGAGGCAGGGACATAGCCCCTATTCAGAATCCCAACCATCACCAGACCCTGACATTGGCTACGGGAAAGTATGCCTCAGTCCCCCACGCCCCCTCGGTGCTGTGGAGGAGGCCCCCTGCCAGGAACTGACCAACTCACTGAGGAGCCATAGTGTGTGTACGTGCACAAGCAGGGACAGAGGGGGCACAGGGAATGGGGTTGTGCCCAGGTATTGCCCCCCTAGCCCCTGGGAGGGTGAGGCAGGGCAGGGACAGTCTCTGGGGGCAGTCCCCCGGTGGGGGGTTACCTTCCC